AACTCTTAAGGTATGTGTTTTATCATCATTATAGTAATGAGGGGCAAGAATTTCATTAAGAGTAGGCGAGAAATGATGTACAAAAGTGATCGGATCAGTAGGTTTAGGCAACGGAATTTGATTCAAAAATTCAAAGTTTTTGGTCACATAAGCACGACTAATTGGATTAATTGGTTCATGGATAACATGGAATTCTTGAGGACGTTGAAGAAATAGTTGTTCAAAAACCGTAGAAAGAGATCTCGGATGTGACCAAAGAATAATGGGTCTTTGATCCGCCATTTTTAAATGAGCAAATTCAATCTTATCTAATCCTTTTATTAAGTTGTGTAATAAATTTGTCAAATTTTTTTTTTAAAAAAAATTTTTTTTTGCAAATGACTATTAAAGGTTTAATATTGATAAAAGGAAATTTGATTCGAATAAATAAATAAAATTGACTAAATAAATAACTTAAAAACTAGCGATCAATATTGAAAAGTCTGAGAGATAATTGCTATAGAAATTTTCGATAGCAATTAGAAAGTCGACTGGAACTTATAATTTACATATATTGTTATCGCCGCATCTTTTTATATTTGCTTTTTTTATATTTCTTCTTTTTGAGATTGATTCTTTCTTTAAAAGTTGCTTGTCAATTAAAAATATTTACTAAAATATTATAATATAAGCTTATTATTAAATACAAGAAAAAAAACCTCACAACAAACTTATATTATTTTTAGGTTCGAATAATTAATACTGTAATCATATTAAAAAACAATTGGTTGATCAAACACCCCAGGCCCACGTTAGGGTGTCCAGAATTCTGCGGTGCATAATTCTGCTCACTCTAAAAATAGTTTTTTGTTTTGTCTCCATAAGATAAACGTGACCTTAATCATTTTTTAAAAACTAAATACAATACAAAAAGATATTTTTAGAGCGAACAGAATTATGCACCGCAAAATTCTGGATACTCTAGCCCACGTCCTAAATACGGTACTTGCAAATCATTTCAAAAATATTTTTTCTAAATCTTGTGTTATGTCAACATTTCAGCATCTTCTTTGGATTCGCTTACTAAATGTAAAAATTTGAAAACCACTAAATGATAATTTATTATTTCTAAATTTTTGTTTTTATCTAAAGAATTAGTTTCGCTTAAATGTTATGGACACAGTAACAACTAGTACATCTTCCACCATTTAATAATAACTTGCAATGAGTATGGACATAATGATCCTCTGAACGTTCCCCACACGTGACACAGTAATCACCTGCCAAAATCCAAACGCTAATAACACAATTACTACCACTATTACAATTAATATAAAGACAGTTGACCCACTTATGTCCCTTCTCATTACAATAATAACATTTTGTGCTTCGGAATACTAAAAAAAACAAATGTATTGTAAAAGTAACAGCAATAGACACGAGTCTGAAATGTTTCACATTAAAAAGGCCGGGAAAATTTACATGAATCTAATAAAAACTCATTTTTTAAAAAATTTGGAAAATGGACTTTTAAATGTGAAACACTCAAATATTATCTGTACAGTACATACCACTTCGATTACTTTTTGGATGCATTTTGCAATACAGTATTCTTTATGAAATGAAAAATAACTTATTAGCAAGTAGGAACTTAAAAATATTTATTTTAATATATAGTGGTGTAAAGTACAGGGTTCTGCAATGGTGCCATTAAAACAGTGTCTGCGTGCCTGACATGCCCGGCACTTGCAGAATAATGCAGTAAATTAGTTTGAATAAGAAAAATAAATTTTAAATTCAATTATAGGCCAATTCAAATAACAAAAAGTATTCTATAATTAAATTATTATTGAATTTCATATTTTCTCTAATTAAACCGTTAAAATTCAATGTCTATCTTTTTCTGCATTGTAAACGAATAATGCAATAACAATTGATTTTACACAGCTATTATGATTAAATATTCTCTACAAATAACTTTAGTCTAGCATTGTATTATATAAGTATGATTTTTTATTTCAAAATTTAAAATTATGTTAATTATGTCAAAAGTCAAAACCAGATCTCGTTTTAGTTCACCATCAGAATTAGAACATGAGTCCAGTCGAATACCTATCTCTCATCAAAAGATTGATTTTAATAATGAACCCCACGAAATTAAAATTTTGGTAAATAAACTTATTCGTGAGTTTGCCGATGTTCGAACTACAAAACGATTAGATCTTTTATGGAATCCTTCAGTCAATACTAGGGCTAAAACCATCTCACGTCCACAAAATTGTTTTATACTCTTTCGTAAAGATATAACTGCCGAATATAATCCACAAAATAATAATAATAGTGAAAAGAGAGTTGGTAAAAACGTTTCAAACTTGTTGAAAATCACGAAGGAAAGATGGGCAGCAATTAAAAAATTTAATCAGCATGAATACCAATTCTGGGAAAAATTAACAGAAATAGCAAATTTGAAGCACAAATTACGTTATCCGAATTATAAATATATTCCGATTAGGAATAAAATCAAAAAATGTAAAAAATGTAGATCAAATAACAATCAGGTGACTAATGATAATGGATCCAGCAAAAATATTGACAATAACAGTCAAAATAATTCAACATTCTCTTTACCTATCGAACCCCTTTCAGATAGTTTTCTTATATCCAGTTTTGCACCTTATTACTTATTACATGGATATAGACAAAATATTATGGTGCCTGTTCAATTCACCCACAATCCTTACATAAACTACCAATATTATCAACCTCATATATTAAATAGTTTAATTGACCCTATATTAAATAATTATTAACGTCATCGTTGATAAAATCAAAACTATTTGTTTTTCTATATTATTTTTAGGTTCGAATAATTAATACTGTAATAAAGATTTATCACTTCGTATCTATTAAAAAAAAAATAATATCGATATAACAATACAGTATTGCAAACGTAATTAAGTAATTGAATTTTTAAATTAATAATTTAATAATTGAAAAAAATCAAACCAATTATTTTCAATTAATTAGTTTAATATTTATCAAAAGAAAAAATTTATATACATTATAATTTTTAAATTCTATTTAACTAAGCTTCACTTAATATTTACAAATTCTGTTTTTTTTTTTAAAAAAAAAAATTGACGAGTTTCCAAAAAATGAAAAACATGTTATTTTACGAAAACAAAAATGAAAGCTTCGTTCCTTTTCTTTTATTTTTAAATGAAGTGCGTGACGTTTTTTCAGCCCGGTTTTTAAATTTAAGTAGTAAAGAAATTTCAAATGTTATATCTAAATTATGGATAAGCTTACCTGAAAGTGAAAAGGCAAAATATAGAAAGATAGAGATTAATATGAGAAAAAATTTAGACATTTCAGATGTTTTTCCTGCTCAAAAGAAGAGAAAATTTTCTAATAATTTTTGTCAACACCCACAATATATAGTACAAAATCGTAATTTAATAAGAGCAATTCTTTCTTGTACACTTCCTCTGTCAATTGTTAATAATAGTGACTTTAGAAAATTTTGTAGTTCGCTTGATTCAAGATTTAAACTTTCTAGTAGTGATTTCATAAGAACTTCAATTCTCAACTCATATGACCAAACCAACAAACTCATTCAAAATGAAATCATAGAAACTGCAGAGTTTGTGGCACTTACTTTAGATTTTTGGACATCTTACTCTTATTTTGGAATAACTTGTCATTGGCTTATGCATGATTTTAAGTTAATTGAAATTGTTCTTGATGTGTCGAAATTTTCTGAAGAACACGCTGCAGCTGAAATTTTTGAAAAACTTCAATTTCAATTGTCTAAATTCAAAATTGCACATGAAAATATTGTTAGTATTACTATTGAAAATGAAGACAGTAATAATGTAAAAGCAGCTTTATCACAATTGCAAATTGAAATTATTCCATGTTTAGCAAATATTTTACGAATTAGCATTGATTCTGGGCTTTCTTATGCTAATAACATTATAAACAAATCAAAAAAATTAATTGAACTTTTAAATAATGATACGAATCGCCAAAAATTAAGAGATCTTCAACCGCATCCAAATCTTGTAGATATAGAAAATGATTGGAATTCAGTATATCAAGCTATTCATAATTTAATAATATTGCAACCTTCAATTTTATACCTTAGTGGAGAAGATAAAAAATTAAAAGAAAATATGCTTTCTGAGGATGAATTTGATATATGTAAAGAACTTGACGTTGTTTTAACGCTATTCTATGAATTAACTGAAATGTTAAAACATTCAAAATATCCTGCATTGAGTTTCATGACTCCAGCAATCGAAAATATTAAGCAGCGTCTTAGTATTTATCAACCAAAAAACAATGTAGTTCAGCAAGTAAAAGTAACTATATTAGACAATCTTAAAAAAAATTTTGATGCACCCTTAATTCTTGGATTATATAGTTCTTTTTTTGATCCTCGTTTCAAAAAGTTTTTTTATATTGAAAGTGTAAATATAAATACTTTTCATTATTTGAATTCCACAAGAATAAATAAAGTAATACATCTCTTATTTTATAGGAATTGCGATGTCAAATTATTAATAATCTTCATGAACAATTTACGAAACTTTTAGAACCAACGACTTCAAACCCTGAAACAATAAATAAGGATTCGAAAATGCTATCGTTTTTTCATATATTTATTCAAGAAAATAGACAAACAGAATTTGACAAATATCTTGAATTATCTCAATTGGATGTAACTGAAAAAAATAATCCTTTTATATAGTGGAGTAAGAATAAACATTTGTTCCCTACAATGGCAAAACTTGCAAGAAAATATTTATCAATTCCAGCATTTTCCACCCCCCTGAAGGGCTATTTCCAGATAAAAAAAATCAAAGTTTAAATCTTGATATTATTAATTACCTCGTGTTCTTGAAATATAATTTGTCACTAATTAATTGAAAATTACAAGACATATACATTTAATTTATAGTAAAAAATGTAGGGAAAACATTTTTATATAAGTGTAAAAAAATTAAAATTGGATACTGTATTTATATTTTAGATTTTGTAACTACTGTATATAGAATTTTCTTTTTTAGATAAAAAAATTTTAAGAATTAATAAGGGTCCCGTAAATTATGTGCATAATTTAAATTTGAATTTTCACAAGTTTTGGTAAGTAAATTATCTGTGTTGGTATTACCTGACAGTGTTAAATCATATGATCAAAACTCAAACCTAGAATTATTGGTTTTTCTTATATTTTAGTTTCAAACTATGTGAGAGAGCAAATGACGTTATTAAATTTACCAAAATTCAGATCACATTATTTTTGAAGTTTAATATAAAATGTATCATTGTTAAATTTTTGCCATAATTTGGGCGCACATGTATAATACTTAATTCATCTTCAATTTAAAAATAATACAATTTTTTAAAAGACCGTGTTGTTGATTGGACTATGCTCAATTGCTTCAATTGCTTAAATAAATCTGAAAATTCTGATTAAATAAATATAGAAAAGACTTAAGCGCAATTCGAAATAATACTGCAATGTGTTGCTTCAACAGGCAATTTTCTATAATATAATACATACTAAACAATATTATTATCCAGAGATATTGTCACGCAAAAATACGATGTAAATACTTAGATTCGGCGCTAGACACAAAATCGCTAAAGAAAAAGGTATTGTCAATTTGAATGTATAAATTGCATTTGATCTGTCTCTAATTCAGATGAATGTCCTAAAATCTAAAATTTCAAAAGAAATCGAGTATAATTATGTTTTTTGATAATTTTACTCCAATTGAAGAAACAAACCTACTATCAGAAATCAAAAGCAGTAATGGAGTTAATGGAATTACTATTTTCATTCCGTGTGGTTATTCTTCGGTTTTAATTTGTAATAATGAGAATGTAAATTCCAAAAATATGATTAAGGAACTGCTCTGGTTAAATTTAAAAATCCCAGCATTCATTTTAAATACTGAATCAGACACACCGTTAAATGAAAAAACAGCAACAAAACCTGCAAAATGCTTTCTGATATTTCGAAATGGAATACACCTTGAAATTCAAAAGCAATACCCATGGTTAAGCAATCATGAAGTTTCAAAATTAGCAGGAATATTGTGGAATATATTAGATTCGAAATCAAAAGAAAAGTATAAACAACTAGCTGAAATTGAACAATTGGAGTTTTGAAAAAATAATAATAATAAAGGTAAAAATAAATATAATAAAAGAGAAAGAAAAGAAAAAACAAAATATTCCTCTAAAAAAACGAAAACTGAAGAAAATTTAGCATCCAATTATCTGGATATTATATCAAATGGGTTAAAAAATATAAAAAAAATTGAATATGAAGAGTCAGGTGAAAGAAATAATGCCCAAGAACCTTATTCTGAAGAGTCAAATGAAAATAATGCTCAAAAACCTTATTATGATGAGTCAAGTGAAAAAAATAATATCAATACGCCTTATTCTGAAGAGTCAAGTGAAATTCAAAAAACTTATGCTGAAAAGAGTGATGAATATGCAACATTTGATTACAATCACGATCACGAATTTGGGCTTTTCTACCAGATGATATTTTGGGCCTAAACACATCAAATCAACTTGGATGTGAGTCAACAGAAAATTTGGAGAATTCTTCACTAATATATGATCAGTCAGGGAATCCTGATTATTCTTCTATGGGAATGTCTACCTTAGATATACAATCATTAATGAGCTTTATAAATGATAAAAAATTTATGTGAAATGATAATATTTTTTTTTTGTGATAATCTTTTTTATTTTTATCATTATTTTTATTTATTTTTATTTATTTTTTATTTTGTCTTTGCAAAGAATAAAAAATAAAAGGAAATTTATAAATTTACTAGTGTTGAAATTACAAAACTGAAAATATTCTTAAAATTTGGAATTGACCAAATTACCAAACGAAAATTAAAATAACTTATTTTTGCGACTAATTTACCGTATTGTAACTTACAATTAAAAACTTGTCTGTGTGTGGGCAATCTTAATTCCTCACACCATTTTACACATTTCTCAAGGTATCTTAAGTGAAAGTGTTCTGGCACTAAGACTTCCCTAACCTCAATCCCCAAGCGTGAAAAAGTTTTATAAATAATAATAAAATAACATATAAAATTATTTGCTCCTATTCTTTAACAACCTTTAGCTACTTTAAGAGAATCCTGAATTCTTAAATTTTGATCATCTATTGTATCTAATGAAGGAGGTCAAATCATTATAAGTTAATCTAAAGTTTATTCTCTATTAATTTAAGCTTACCACTAGGGAGTCCAGAATTCAGCGATACATAATTCTGCTCACTATAAAAATATTTTTTTGTATTGTCTCCATAAGATAAACGTGATTTTAATCATTTTTTAAAAACTAAATACAATACAAAAAGATATTTTTAAAGCGAGCAGAATTATGCACCGCTGAATTCTGGACACTCTACTTACCACATGTAATCGAAGTACCACTTTTAAGTACGAGAGGAAGCACAACACATATAAAATTAATATTATATGGAATAATTGACCATGTATCTTTTGGGCACATAGAGCAAAATCCTTCTCTATACAAGCTTGATCACCAACTTTGCAAGGAGTATTTCTGGTAAAATACTTAAATTTTTTTTGAAGCGCTTAAGAGTCCAGTGCATTCTTTTTGCGAAAGCATTGATCAGATATGGCTATGCTAACAAAAAAAATGATAACAATAAAAAGTTTAACAATATACGATTGTATTTTTTTTTGAAAATTTATTTTAAATGAGAAAAAAATTTTTATTTGTGTTTGTTCATTCACTTAAATAGTTTAATTATAAATTTGGATCTTAAATTCAATAATTTAATAATTAAATCACAATACATTATTTTGGCAATATTTCAATTTATAAAGTTAATAGGCAAAAAATCTCAATTAGGTCAATTAATGTGCATCTAGAAAAAAATGTAAATGCATGCAAAGCAGCAAAGTATACATGATACACATTTTTTATAAATATACTAAATGTATGCATGACACTATGTAGCATGGGAAAAGGACAAATTTTTTCTAAGTAAAAGTTTTCTTGAATTTAAGCTTAAATAACTTAGCAATTATCTTATTAAATTTAATAAATTTTTTTTTATTTTAATTCTATATAATTCCAAAATTAAAATAAAAAAGAATTTAGCAAATTTAATTAAATAGTTGTTGAGATATTTTAATTTAAAATTAAAAAAAAATTACTAAAAATGAGTTGTCTCTTTTCTATTGACCCCATATACTAATGCCTGATATATAGTATTTAATATAATTAATATAAAGTAGCATGCCACCCTGATTTTTTGAGGAGATGACATGCCAATGATCCCATGCCAGTTCCCTAGAGCGTTATTTCGGCTTGTTTTTGAAAATTAGTGTAACACGAAAGATTTGCTCGTTTCCCAAAACATTTCGGTTTCATCTTCTAACTCAGAATAGTGATGCTGACTAAACGTTTTAATATCACTATGTTTTGGATTTTATCATGCAATAAAACAGATTTTAACATATATCATAGTTAAATTTGTCAAAATAAAAAAGATATTCAGAATTAACTTTTTTCAAAAATAATTAGGAGTTTAAAAGATCCTATTTTCTTTTTTAGAATTCCGAATTAGAAAAATAAATAGGCGTAGTCGGTGATAAAATTAGCTTTTTTGATGTAAATAGGTACGTACTTTAAAAAAAATAGAATTTGTACGTCGCTTCTTTGAAATAAATACATCACTTATTTTATTTGGAATTGGACGTTGAATCATTAATTATCAATATGTCAAATAATAATTTGAGCGCTACTAGCAATTGTTTAGCTTCTTCAACTAATAAATTTAATCGATGAAAAAATTGGAAAATACTATTTTGTCTGATACAAATATTGTCAGCATTGGCAAAGAGAAATACCAACCATAATGGAATCACATTTAGCAAATGAATGTTCTAATTGTCCAGCAAGATAAATTCATAATTGAATTAATAATTCTAATTCTTATTCATTGTAAATATGCTAAATAAGCTTTTTATTTTATTGTAAAATAATTTTCATTGTTTTATCGCAAGTATATAATCAGTTTATATTTTGATGGTTTTCCCGTTTTTAATCTAAGCCTCAATAATATAACGATAAATAGTATTAACCTATCACGTGGATAGTTTATAAGTTTTATCATGAGTATAGTCGGTATCACTACTTCAGAACCTCGGTCCGAAAATAGCGATGCGATTTCCGAAGATTTATAAGATGAAACCGAAAGGTATCAAGTGTCACACTAATTTTCAAATCAGCTGTAAAGAAAAAACATTCTATTTTTAAAACATTAACAAAAGAATATATTTAAATTTTTATTTGTTCATTAATAAGGGCTATACTATTCGAAATAACAATAGAATGAGCCATCTGGTCTTTGTAAATAATTCGATCAGACTATATTTATTTTGATTGAATGATGTAATTAATTAACAGTGCATAATTCTGCTCTCTAAAAATATTTTTTTGTATTGTCTCCATAAGATAAACGTGACTTTAATATTTTTTAAAAACTAAATACAATACAAAAAGATATTTTTAGAGCGAGCAGAATTATGCACCGCTGAATTCTGGACACTCTAACACCCTATTACGAACGATAAGTCAATATTACGTTAGCTTTATTGTTTGAACAATAAATTTGATCCCTGAGAATATTTCTAAATATAGTTCAACGTTACAGATATCCATCACTGACTAACGTTTCCTTTTACTCGAAAATCACATTATAGGACATAGTAAATACACATGTTCTATAACTTTTCAAGACAAAGACCCCATATGTGTAACCAACTATATCTAAATATTTATCGTTATCAAATTAATTTTTTTGGATCAAAAAAATAGATGTTAGAAGAATTTGAAAATATAATTGTGTTGCCAGTAGCAATGTGACCCGAAATCCATTGAATATCTATTTTCATATTAAATCTAATAGATATTCACTGAATTTAATATGAAAATGGAATCCAATGGATTTCGGGTCACATCACTAGTTGCCGGGTTATTATTTAGCAAAAATTATAGTCGTCAATCACCACCACGTTAATATATTAAAATAGGTAATATATTCAAGAATTGCTTTAATACTATAGCATTATGGCAATATGGCAATATGACAATATGATATATAATATTTATTATTTTTTTATTCAACAATACACTGAGTTTGGTTTAACGTAAATTAAATGGCGCCATATGGTATTCAATTTATTGCAAAACCGCCAAACATAATGCCAATTCTGATCCATTGTTGTTCAAATAAGTCAATATTCTAATTCTTTTGTTATTGGTGATTTTCAAAATCAGCGTCCTTTCCTTTTTAAGCTAATTATAAATTTACCAAAAACTTAACATATCTCCATTGTTTAAGCAAAGTTATGCAATTAATAATCAAATAAATTGTACAGGTACGTGCATACTACTGCTATTTGCATCCTTTTTTTTGGTTAAATTATAAGTTTATTATCTTCAAAAAACTGCGCAAAAAAGTTAATCACAAGTAAAATAATTATATTAGCCTTTTTATTCAGATAATAAAATTGATCTCTGAGAATTTTTTCTAAAAACAAGGTCTTGTTTTCATTTGGGAAAGCTTCGAATAAAAATAAAATTGATTTAGTCATCTGAACTCTAGGAATTCCTGTATATAAAAATAGATATTATATCACATGAATTTTGTTTATCATCCTAAACATTTATTTTAACATTACGATAATTTTTCAGTAAGATAATTGTAGCATTAGAATGTCTATATATATTCAGAATTTCATTGCATTTAGGCACATTTTTATAATGTCAATTCAAAATGAAGAAATTAAAGAAATATTTACTACTGCTGAATTTTATGAACTTAATTCCAAAACTTTTCTTCTTTTAGAAAAGTTAATTCAACCCAATATCAGAACTAGCAATTCGCCGCCAAGAGCACAAAATAGTTTTATGATTTTTCGAAAAGATTTTGCTGCTTACTGAAATTCTTTATGTAAAGAAAAAGACATAAACAAAGTTTCAAATTTAGCTAGTAAGTTATGGAAAGGAAAACTTTATAATTTCAAGTTATGGAATAACATTAATAATGAAATAAAAGAAATTTATTCTAAAGTATCCAAAATTGCAAAAAGGTACTATAATGAATTGTTCCCCAGATACAAATATAGACCTAGAAGAAAACATTATAAATTTGTTCCTTACATTTTACAACCCGAAATTAAACCTTATAAATTTATTTTTCAACAACCCGAAATTAAACCTTATTATATTCAACAGCTTGATATAAATTTAAAAGATATTAACAATATTAACAATCAATTAATTAATGTTCATTCTTTGAAATCTTTTAATATAAAAATTATATTGAATAGTTAACTATTCAGATATTATTATTCTTATGCATTCGGTGTAAATAAAATAGTTCATTGATTTTTAAATTTTCTGTAATATGAAATAAAGAAGTGCTTTGTTAAATAGTTAAAATTTCTTCATACTCATGTCAATATTTATTTTAATAATAATAGATATTAAGTACATGGGAGATTTTGAAATTAAATGAGAATTTGAAAAATCTTATTTGTTTTTAATAGGAAAACGAAATGGGTTGTTTCATTTCACGTATCCACATCGACATAAATCTTTTTTATTGTATGAAAAAAGAAAATTAAAAAACTTTCGTTCAAATTAATAGAAATAACACACTATTTTGATATGGCCGAATTAAACTTAAATACTTGATACGGTATTCACTTATAAATTCACTAAATTTTTTCTTATAATATAGTCCAGTATTGTTAATTTTTGCTTCCAGTAAAAATTCTCAGTCTTCCAATCGAAATTTTTAATAGTAAAAGTTCTAGTAGTACTATTAATTTTCTTCCAGTAAAGTTCCAGTTATCTTCCAGTAGCTTCCAGTTAACAACACTAATATAGTAAATACACAATCCCGAAATCTCACGTCGCCCGAGCAAGGATTCTTTGCGGTTTACAGGTTGCAATATCTCAATCCGGGTCCACCTACCTTCCAATTATGCGAGATTAATTGGACAAAGAAATAAAAGCAAATCAGATTGATGATATTTCTTTAATTAACAACAATGTAGCTGGGTAACTATTATTTATTAGCATGAAATGAATGCCGATCATTGTTTTATTCCAAACGAAAATGTGCTTTGGTACCATGCAAGTTTTAGTCAGTATTTTCATCTTTTTAAAGTTACTACAAATTGCTTATATAAATAAATAAGCTTTGATAGTATCTTAGTTCAAATCCATATATCAATTATCCTTTTTTGTGATTAATCCTTTAAGTCAAAGAAGCCATAGTTTAAATCTTAGAAGTATAACTATAAAATCAAAAATAATATACATATTATTTTTAATTACACGAATATCATCATCTGCAAAGTTTTCACATTTCTATACTTCTAATGGAGAATGAACGAGTTTTAGCATGTAAAAATTGTCAAAAAAAAAAAAAAGTGCACAGGTGAAATAACATGCAAGAATTGCAAGAATTCTAATCTTAGCTGTAAATACAATCGCAATCGTCGTCGTGTTGCTTTAGCATATACAAATTGTCGACACAGAAAAAAAAAGTGTTTGGGTGAAAATATATACGCAAGATGCAAGAAGAATAGTCTTAACTGTAAATATATTAGAAAAAGTAAAACTTTTATCACTCCGGCAATTACAAATTTATTAAATTGAGACTTTACATTTATAAGTAACGTTAATTGTTGTATCATGTGTATTAGTATAGACAATCATCCTGATTTAAATGCTAAAATAATTTAACTTACAAAAATATTATCAAAAACTACAATTAAACTATCGTTTTGCTACTGAGGATTATTTTTTTCACCCTTTCATTTTTTTTGATTTGTTGTATATTACTTGATTGAGTTCAGATGTAATTTGTTTTTTTATTTAATGAAATTGCTTAGTTTTGTTAAAAGTTTTTGTGTGGTTTCTAGAATTTTCATTTATTTTTATTAGGTTTCCCAAGATAAAGCTCAAGAAAATTTTATATACTGAAATACAAATTAAATGTAATCAAAACACGTAACTTAAATTCAAATATACTCTTTTATTATAAAAACTAACTCTAAATCCTAACCTAACTGTAAAAAAAAAAAAAAAAGCTAAAAAAATGCACCTCAATAAAATTTGAAAATTTCATATTAAAATATTTAATTTGTCAAATAATCTTTATTTTTTTTTATTATATAACTTAAAAAAATATAATTAATGTGCAATGAAACGTAAATCAACTATTATTTAATTATTTTTCTGAATATGTAACTGTATCTTTCCAACAGTTCTTCACCACCTAAGTTATCTTCATTGTTTGTTTAAAATTTATACCCGGACAATTTCAATGCGAAATCTTCTGAGATCGCTATCATGTCTCTGAGAGTTAGAAAATCATTTTCTTTGTGATTTAGGTCTATTTCGAACTCATTTTTTAATAGGGAGTTATAATAATACAAAAAATCAGGTATTTTGAACAATTCATAATTTTGATACATCAAATTTTTTAAAGATTCTTTGTGCATGTCCTCAAATACTGAGATGTCTTGATGGTTGTCGCGCAATGCTTTGATAAGCTTTAACACATATTCATAATTTTTACCATTAAATTCTGAGTTGATAAGATTTTTTAGATAAATTAAATTATTCATGGTTCGAAATAGACTCTAATAAAAAATGATAGGAATATTTGGTACTTTTATGAAAATTTAAAAATTAAAAATTGAAAAATATCTATTAATTGATTTTTCAATAGAAAATTTTGGTATTATGTCCAAATAAATATTTAACCGTAGCCTTCTTATTGTTCCATGTTACTATAAAATTTTCATTTAATTTTGATAAATTTTCAATAAAAGTTTTACCATCCTGAATCATTCCTTTGACATTTTCAATGAGTTGAATATAGGTAATTCTTGCCTTAAGAATAGCCACTATTTTAGCTGTAGCAACTTCTAATTAATGCGTTACTACATTAGAAAATAGACAAGTTAAAACTCTTTGATAAATGAGGCTTCAACTAACTTCATGATATTAAATCTTATTTATTTAAATTAAAAGTAAAAAAGAATAAATTTCCTGACAAAGACACGGAAGTACCCTGGATGTATATAAATTCAAAATTAGAAGGATTTTTTGGATGTGATTTTGTCTTAAAACCAAAAGAAGAAGAATTAAAAATATATTATTTAAAATTGATATTCGAATTACAAAGTTGCACCTTTTTAAATCCTTTTAAGCACGTTAAATTTTTTCTTTAAAATGAAAGATGGTGACCGGCAAGACTTTTACAAACAAATTACAAGCTAAAAAAAAATTACGAACCATTCTTACCAAAAGATGAAGATGGTGGTGTAGATGATGGATAATACTTTTTTTTTAATTTAGCAATCATGGTTCGATAAATGAATTTATTTTTACCTTACAAAAATTTGATTGTTTAAATCATTTGAAAAAGAATAACATATAAGTTAGATGTTAGGCCATACAAATTTAATTATTTGGTTTTCATAACATGAAACTTTTAAGTAGACCCGGCCGGCTGGCTTTTTTTTTTAAATTTCATATATAAAATCTTATAAAATTTATATAAAATTTTTTTTTAAAACCAACCCGGTTATTACTGCTGTTTTCATAAATTCTGGGACATCTGGCAAAAACTTGACCGACCGAATATTTCCTGGTTCGATAAGTTTTGATTCGGCAGTGATAAACTTCTGATTCAGGTGTGATTATAGCAATAAATCAAAACTTATCGAATCGGCAAATATTCGGTTGATCAATTTTTTGTCAGATGTCCCAGAATTTATGAAAACAGCTGTAAAACATATAAAAATTTTTTTTTAGAAGTTTCTGGGTTATGAAAACTAATTATTTAATTTTGCATGGCCTTATCTAACAAGAATTTAAATAAAGCGAAACAATTATTAAGGAGTAATCATGGCGAATAGTATAAAATATGGTATATTTCATATTACAGTAATAAAGATGTAACGTAAAAACTAAGAAAAAAATCGTTCTTTTTTTGACAAAATTTTAGCATAATATTGCCTATTAACCCATGTGAACCGTTATTTAGTAGATTCACCGTTCAATTATTTATTTATATACTGTGCCAAGATATAGTATTTTTTTACCAGATTACGAACACTTTGGGTCCTCAAAAACATACTCTTGGGCCCACTAAAATAAGGGTCTGCTACTGGGATGCACCATATACTAACTAATCAAAATTATGTCAAGTATCATAAAAACTAATAGTGCAGATTTTAATCGGCAAAATCAATAAATTAGTAGCAAAATATTAGTATTCGAAAAATTTATTCACCTCGCGTACTAATAATTTTTTCCTGTTAATTTTTACGGCAAATAATTATTATAATGATATAAAAAAAGTTATCAGTTTTAAATTTTCATTTACAAAAGTTAATTCATCATTTTTTAGCTGAATTTAATATGTAAATTAATATTTAAAAATTTTTAATTAATTAAAATTTTAAAACTGTTAACTTTTTTTTACAATTACTCGAGTGGTTTTTTATATGTTTATAAAAAAAACTTTTTATATGTTTATATGGCCTTAGTACGCGAGGTGAATCAATTTTTCAAATACTAATATTTTGCTAAAAATCTATCGATTTAGTACTACATATTAATTTTTACTATTAAGCAAAGTTCAGCCTAAATTAAGCATCTAGGTCCACAACATCGAATATCGTTGGGTGTAATTTAAATTTTTGGCCCGAATGAAGCAAAGTACGGTCTAAATTAACGTTAAGAAAATTTTGGGTCCACAAAAATACTTAGGTTAACGGATCCTCGGGTCCAGGGTTTCTCACGTAAAATTTTGGCCCAAATTAAACGAAATTTGACCTAGATTAAGACTAAGAAAAACTTTGGGTCAGTCAAGTAAAATTTTGGCCCGAATTTAGGTCACTAAAATAAGGGTCCGCTATATATAAACCAACGCACGTACGTGAACGATATTCGTACATTGGGTGTAGTTTAAAATTTTGGCCCGGATTAAGCAAAGTTCGGCCTAAATTAAAAAAACTTTGGGTCCACAACAATGTTATAAATTCAAAAAATTTTTATTAGCGCAAATACAAAAAAAAATATGCACAAAGAAAAAATTTATACGCAAATTTAAATCTATGTGTGCTGCGCTTACTGCATCACTGGTCCACAATCAGTGTTATAAATTCAAAAAATTTTTATTAGCACAAATACAAAAAAAATATGCACAAAGAAAAAATTTATACACGCGTTATATATACAGTGAGCAAATCTATATGCGCTGCGCGTACTGCGCCGATCCAATTTACATCACTGTCCACAATCCTGGGTTCACTAAAATAAGGAGCCCGTCACGTAAAGCATACGGTTCACTTAATAAAACTTTGGGTCTGTAAAAATATTTGGCTTAACGGATCCTGGGTCCACTAAAATAAGAGTCTGGCACGTAATATTTTGGGCCGAATTAGACAAAGCTTGGCCTAAATTAATAAAACTTTGGGTTCGCAAAAATATTCCGGCAGTAAAATTTTGGGCCGAATAAAAGTTCGCCTAAATTAATCAACGTACTAATATCGTTGGGGTGTAGTTTAAAATTTTGGCCCGAATTAAACAAAGCTCGGCCTAAATTAATAAAACTTTGGGTTTAAAAAAATCTTTGGTTTAGGAAGGTTTTGGGATTGCAAAGAAAATTTGGTTTAACAGATCCTGGGTCCACTATGTAGCGGACCCTTATTTTAGTGGTCCACGGACCCAAAATGGTCTTAATCTAGAATAATTCGGGCCAAAATTTCACAGACCGGTCCCTTATTTTAGTGGCGTTAAACCAAATATTTTTGCAGACCCAAAGCCTTCTTAAGCCAAAGATTTTTGTAGACCCAAAGTTTTATTAATTTAGGCCGAACTTGGGCCAAGACTACACCCCAACAATATTAGTGCATGCTTATATACGTACGTTGCTTAATTTACAAAGTGGTCTGAATTTGAAGAAATAGTAGATCCAGATAGAAATTGCTTAATTAGAAATAGCAAATATTAACTCTACCGAATGATGAATATTGCTTAATTTTGGAACTATACGGTATTTGGTATCTAGTATCTACAGAGGTACGTTTATTGATATTGGGTGCGTTTATTGATATCCGGTACCTATGGAGGTACCAAACATGTTTGTTGATACCTGGTACCTCTGTGGGTATCAAACACCTTTATTGGCATCTGGTGCCTCTGGAGGTACCAAACACGTATATTGGTGTCCGGTTCCTCTGGAGGTACCAAACACGTTTATTCAGATATCTGATATATACAATCACTTATTATACGTTTGGTTAAAAGCCTTCTTTTGTATATATTTTAAGGGTAATCAAACTCGCGTTTTCAATAATCTAACAAATAAGGATATAGATTACCCTCAATTTCCAGAGAATAACAAATGAGGGTAATTGAACCCGCATTTTCAATGATCTAACAAATGAGGGTCGAGATCACCCTCAATTACCAGAGAATAACAAATGAGGTAATCGAACCTGCGTTTTCAATGATCTAACATATGAGGGTCGAGATCACCCTCAATTACCAGAGAATAACAAATGAAGGTAATCGAACCCGCGTTTTCAATGAACTAACAGACGAGGGTCGAGATCACCCTCAATTACCAGAGAATAACTAATGAGGGTAATCAAACCCACATTTCAATAATCTAACAGATGAGGGTCGAGATCACCCTCAATTACCAGAGAATAACAAATGAGGGTAATCGAACCCGCGTTTTCAATAATCTAACAGATGAGGGTCAAGGTCACCCTCAATTACCAGAGAATAACAAATGAGGGTAATCGAATCCGCGTTTTCAATGATCTTACAGATGAGAGTCAAGGTCACTCTTAATTACCAGAGAATAACAAATAAGGATAATCGAACCCGCGTTTTCAATGATCTAACAGATGAGAGCCAAGGTCACCCTCAATTACCAAAGAATAACAAATGAGGGTAATCGAACCCGCATTTCAATTATCTAACAAATAAGGGTCGATATCACTCTCAATTACAAGAGAATAACAAATAAGGGTAATCGAACCCGCATTTTCAATAATCTAACAGATGAGGGTCAAGGTCACCCTCAATTACCAGAGAATAACAAATGAGGGTAATCGAACCTGCGTTTCAATGATCTAACAAATAAGAGTCGATATCACCCTCAATTACTAGAGAATAACAAATGAGGGTAATCGAACCTGCGTTTTTAATAATCTAACAGATGAGGGTCGAGATCACTCTCAATTGCCAGAGAATAACAAATGAGGGTAATCGAACCTGCATTTTCAATGATCTAACAGATGAGGGTCGAGATCACCCTCAATTACCAGAGAATAACAAATGAGAGTAATTGAATCCGCGTTTCAATGATCTAACAGATGAGGGTCATATCACCAGAGAATAACAAATGAGGGTAATCGAACCTGCATTTCAATGATATAACAGATGAGGGTCGAGATCACCCTCAATTACTAGAGAATAACAAATGAGGGTAATTGAACCCGCGTTTCAATGATCTAACAGATGAGAGTCGAGATCATCCTCAATTACTAGAAAATAACGAATGTAATTCTAACTTACAAATATAATCTTATTTATAATTACTATAAATATGTAGACTAATTTGTTTATAATTACCATAAATATGTAGACTAATTTGCAATTTATCTATTATACAGATGTGGCTAGTATTATAAATTTAAAAAATTTTTATTAGCGCAAATACAAAAAAAAAAAAAAATTTATACGCGTGTTATATATATAGTGAGCACTGATATATATACAAATTTAAATTTTTTTTTTTTTTTTTTTTGACAATCCTGCCTTTATTATTTGAGAGCCTGTATATTATATATATATATAAGATTTATATTATTACTAATATCATCCCTCCTATATACAATAAAGACTTATTTATATCAGCGAAATATATTAACGTAATTTTACGTAAGTTATTACGGCCCGAAATATTGCGCAATAATTACGGTCTGGACATAATATT